TGTTTCGCTCGCAAATACGCCGCGAAGCGTCCTGTGAAATGGAAGAGCCAAACGTCTTCATCTTTGGCGGCGTCTTTGCAAAGAGCCCGCAAAGGTCATCGTCATCGAGCGTTGGAATCTTCGGTGGTGTCAGCAGTCCAGCAGCTATCGCGCACTCTGGTAAACCGACAGGCAGTCGCGGCAACGTTTCGGTTTTGTCTTCCTGGAAGCAGGGCAGAGCTCTAGGAATCGTCTCAGTCTTATCCTCCTGGAAACGCAGCGATTTCATCATCGGCACGCTGGGAGCATTTTGCTCCCAAAGCTCTCGGCGCGAAAAATTATGGCCAGCCCTCTTCTCCTGTTCCTCATTAACTGTGGAGCTATCAAGGCCAGGCAGGCGCTGCTGCCTCAATGGTCCAGGGGTGGCGGCCAGAGTGGGTGTAGTGCGTGAGCCGGGGGAAGAAGAAGTTGAAGTAATGGTCGACTTAGTAGTGGCGTTAGTGGCCGCCGAACTTTGAGTGCCGTGTTCCGAGGTCTCCAATATGGTCGAAAGCTGTTTGCGTAACATGGGTGAGTGCGAATCCACCGGAAACTCGGTAGAGGTGGGAGAGGAAGCGGGCTCCTCCGTCGGCGACAGCTCCTTAAGCACAGTGCCAAACTGCCGGGATGGAGCCTGCTTCTGCGGGCCCTTCGGCGTACTTATGCCATGAGATTTTATGAACATGTTGAACATTTGCGTAGAGCACGTTTCATCTGCGTCGAAAACAGGTGCTTTAGTTACGGGCGCAGACTCTGGCTCATCTGGGTCCTGGTAAATCTGTATAGTACGCAGAGGCGGATCTGGCACAGCAAATTTAACATCTGCAGTTGAACCGGTTGAACCGGGATCCTCAAGTATATGCACCTTGGGCTCCTCGGTCGTAACAGGCGGTTGCGATGAGGCAGCGGGTTGACGCAAGACATCAGACGACGTTGCCGGAGCATCGTCTCCTAGGGCTGCCGGTTCCGTAACCTCCGCGCGATCCTCTCTGCGCGACATCATTGACTTTCTGGAGGAAGAGGGAAAGAAACTCTTGCGGCGCGGCATTTTGTCCTCGGGCAGGCATGCAGTCTCATCCATATCAAAGTCGCCAATGACTGTAAGATTACGTTTCTGCCGCCACTTGGCTGCCAGCAACTCCTCCTGTTGGTACTCTGTCTGCTCATCGTCGTTATAGAGCTGGTCGAAATCGACTTGAATGTTGGGCACTTTTGGCGGTTTAAAATACTTGTCTAGCTCGTCCAGCGCTTGCGGCTTGGAGGCGGTGGCGAAGTTTGGGTAGAGGCGTATTCCTCTGAGCTCCCCACCAGTGCCCCACCACGGGTCGTTACGGAGGACCAACGGATGCTTCGGCTCATGTCTTCTAAGATAAATGTAGCCACGATACTCCTCGGGGGAGAGTTCTATATTGGGTCGCGGGTATAGCAATGGTTTGTTATAACACGGCACTGCATTTGCTTCCGGCTCCTGCTCAATTGTTACTTGGGTCACCCATGTCTCCAATGGCTTGTTCTTAGCCACGAAATTGGGGGGAAATCGAAAGGGCTTGTCAAAGCGTCGTTCGTAGTTGGTGATGGGTGGAAAAACATACTCGTCGACATGTATATCGAAGCCCAGCTCTGGCGAGGAGTCGCCGGAGAAGATTTTGCCGTGCTTGTGGGTCTTGGCGTGAGCCTTGTTCCAGGGCATTGACTCCTTGAGGTTTTCTATCCCGCGAGCTGCCTCGACGATCGAGGTGTGGCTTGTTTTCACCTCTTGAGGCACCGCAGACAGCATGGCGCCGTTCTCGTCTCTGAAAACCTCCACGTTACGATCAGAATTCTGCATGCGGCTGGTGCTAGGGCCACCCATCTGAAAGTATCCACTGTTTGTATTAACAATTTACACGTCCTTCTTACAAAGATCCCTACGAATATTCACATATTATATTGGGGAATACATATATAAATATCAATAAGTGTTTTTGATTTATTTTTTTTAATCAAAGCGTTTCGAGATATTTGGAAGAATTTAAGTTATTAAACCCAAAAGACAATAAATTTAAGGGGTTTACCGATTTTTTAAAATTTTCTCTGAAGAGCGCAACTTTACAATTTCAATGTTTTACCAGTTATTAAGTAAAGTATGCAGTATTTTTCTAAATTTTTTTAGTTAAAATATTATAACATTTTCGAGATATTTTGGCAACCAAAATACTACACAAAAAACAAAGGTTAACACGAACTGGGAAGGTCGATTTAAAAAATTTAAATGCAATTATGATCTGGATGAATGCGGAAAAATGCGGAATAAAAAACTAAAAACGCCCTGCAAAATAAACTAGTCTATGACTAGTGCGATGACCGCATGTATGCTGAACATATTGTGCAAATTTCGGTTAAGTCGTTTTTGAGAAATCATGTTGACCAGTTGGAAAAACGTGAAAATAAGTTAGAAAAGCGAGCTAACCTAAGAAAACTTTTGATTTTTGTAAACGGTCACATGGGTCAACCCTCTTAACATTAAATAAAATGCAAAATGCATATGTTGTTAATAAGAGAACGAAAAATGAGATCTTTAAAGAAACACGAAGCGCTCTGCAGTTGTTCTTGTTTCGGTTATTTTTGAGCTTAGGTAATTGTAGGACTGACATTTGTAAGCTTTAATAATAATAGAAATCAACATTATAAAAATTTAAAAAAATATACATCATTCTTATAATGATTCTGACTCCTAGGACTCTGTCACTTTGATAACGTTCCGATTTATGGGAACGTAGACTTCGGCATTTCTTACCTGCACCACACCCGGAAATTCGCTCTTTACGGCAGCTCCGGTACGCACGCTTCCCACCGTAATAGTGTTGGACCCCCGTTGGCGACGTCCCTTTAACGACTGCAAGGCCAACCGACGCTCGTGCAGCTCTTGGTTGACTGCGTCGGCCTGCTCGCCGTCAGAGTACAACATGCGCTGACCCACCGTATACCCGAAGTGCTGGTGGGCTTCCCTTAGCTCCTCGAGCGGCTGGGCCCGGCACTGGAGACCCAGGCGAAAGATCTCGTCGGCCTTTTGCATGTTGCCGCTCAAGTCACAGCAGTACGCCCAGGCGATGTAGAAATCCGCGAGCATCGTGCCAGTCCCGCGACTATACATTTCCTGGTACAACTCGATAGGGTTCTTCAGCTCTTGCGCCTGGAATCGTGCAACGGAGGGGGTAGAGATTGGCTAGTCCACAAACTTATTATCCTTACTTACAAATTTAATAAACAGCTTGATGAACCGCCTGTCCTGCTGGTAGCGAACATCCTTTTCGAATTTTGTGAGGCAGTCCTTCAGAACCACCTGCAATTTGGATTCGCTGCCGCCCGCCGGATAACTCTGCTCGATCCAGCAGATGTATGCGTGCCATGGGTCCAGGGGATCCTCGCCGGTATAGTTCTCCAATTCCTTCTTCAACTTGCTGCGCTGCGCAACTAGCTCCTGGCCCTGCGCGGAGTCCAGGCTGAGTGAGGCCTGCAGCAGGCTAACGTTGCGACCGCTCGCTAACGGTTGGATGTTCTCCTTAGCGGTATCGAAGTCCATTTCAGTCCCCTGTTTCAATGGTGCAAATATTTACCGTCGTATTACAATCATAAAACCCTAAAAAACAAAAACTTCGCGCCGCTGAAATGCTAGGGATAACATTTGAGCTAGCGATATATCGATATATGACATTTGACGTTAGTCGATAGTTCGAGTTTTACAGGGTTGGGAGCTCAGCCAATTACACGGTGGTTCATAGGAGGCGTATTTGAATTTTTTAATTATTAAATTATTATTTTATTGCTTATATTATATTCATCTTAATTATTTTTAATGTTGCTTAACTTAGTTTTATAAAAAAAAAATGTACTTCTGTTTTTCTCAAAAAAATTCCTATAAGTAAAGTTTTTTAAATATTTAAACTTAGAAGTGTAGTTTTGGGTACTTTTGAAGGGCTTTAACTTCAATACGTTTTATTTTTTATAAGCAATCTTTACGGCATCTTCAAGAGCTGTTCTTGTATTAAAAAGGAGCTTTTTAAAGTTGGAAAGTTTTTTTTTTTTGGTATACAATATATTGTCTCTTGAATTTATATCAATATTTTTTCATAAATCTCTGAGTGTGTCGAATTTGACATTATTGGAAAACAAGAAAGGAAGCTAACTTCGGCACGCCGAAGTTTGTATACCCTTGCAGATTCCAATTAGATCATTAAGAATCGAGCCATTCTGGTTAAATAATTAAAAAATAAAAATAAAAGAAAATATATAAAAGTTGTATATTTATACATATGTACATGGCATAAATAAAATGCTGAAAACTCACACAAAACAGAGTTTCATAAAATTTTACCTATACTTATTATGTTTACAGTTTGACAGTTACAGTTTTACATTCCTAGCTTTAAATTTTCTCTACATAAAATTAAAACCGAAAATCTGAAATAATATAATTTGGCCATATCTCAAAAATGATGCAAAAATGTTGAAAAACAGCCAAATTATCAGACGGACGGACAGACGGACATGGCTAAATCGACTCGGCTGTTGGTGCTGCTCAAGAATATATACTTTATAGGGTCAGAAAGGTCTCCTTCACTGCGTTGCAAACTTCTGACTGAAATTATAATCGTTCGTTTGTTATTATGGCAGCTAAATGATATAGCCGACTGATCCTGCCCGTTCCGACATATATTAGTGAGAATAGTCCGAGTTTCATTCAGATAGCTTTAAAAATGGCTAGATCGATTGATTGATTGATGCTGATCAGGAAAACATATACTTTATAGAATCGAAACCGTCTCCATCTTTGCGTTGAAGACTTCTGAATAAAATTATAATACCCTGCAACGGTACAAAAATGCTCTAATTAAGTTACCTAAGGACCTTGGCTTTTAGTAATTTCATTTTGCTTATTACTTTTTCAAGGAGCCACGGAAGCTTCACTGTTACTCGCATACCTGTGAAAAATGATTTAAAAATAAATTAAAAATCTTTATTTATATGAGCCTACCTAGAACGACTTGGAATATTTTATGAGCTTATAACCTATAGTCAACAATACAAATTAGGTCACTCCTTATGCAGTATCATATTGAATTTGCTAATGGCCTCGGCAACATATTTTTCCTTTTCAGCTAGCTCGGATTTGAGCAGCATGCGCAGTTCTTGTAGATTGGGCATTGTACGACAGTCGCGAATATTAAGCAGCGTCCTGAAGATAGTCTCCCACATCTGCCGCTGGACATAGCGCGGAAGAGCAGTTTTCGGCATCCAAACTCCACTCGTACTCCGTTTCACAACTTCCATATAGCTACCGAAGAGCAGGACATGCATGACACCCACTAGGCCGAATAAATCGAGCTGGTACGTCCACGGCCGATTGGTGCGCATCTCAATGCACTTGAACAGCTCGTGGTGGTGCACATAATTGAATGTTTGATTGGGCGGAAAGCGCCTGGTGTCGATAGACACGCCAAAGTCAATAAGCTGCAGGCTAACCTCATTGGGATGCGCGCACAACCTAGAAGAAACACATGATTCGTAGTTCTTATGGTGAAAGGGTTATTAGCTTAAGGTTCTTACGGTTTCATAAGGAGAAAGTTGTCCGCTTTAATATCGGCGTGAATTATGCCCAAGGCGTGCAGATGATCCACGATGTCGAGCATCTGGCAACTTAGATGCATCACAACGTACTCGTCCAGGTTCTTGCCCGTGCCACTCTTTATTTTGTTGCACACGGAGATCAGCGAACCATAATCCGAGAAGTCCGAGATATAGACACTGCAATTGTTGCCCACCAGTGCATAATCAAAGTGTGTATATGCTGAAAACTAAAAGATATAATACAAAATGATCATTTATCTTATTTTTTGTTTTAGAGTCGTAGTTACTATTTTTTTTTTGTGCAAATTACAGACTACATCGGAAATCAAGCACTTAAATTAAGCAGGGCACGCAATCATTATAAGTGAAAACATTAAAATAAGTAAGTAAGAAGTATTGAGTGGAGTTAAGGGGTTATATACAGTTGTGATGATAAAAAAAATCGACTTTTTTTATTGCATATTCTTCAAGTATATACTATTGAGAATACTCTCACAAAAATTCATAAAGATCGGAGCTTTAGAACCGAAGTTGTAGCTATTTATAGCGCACGACCTGCACGTCGGCCGGAACAAACTTCAAACTTTAAACGCGATTATCTCAGAATCGTTTTTTTTCGAAGTTACCTTTGCGGTGGACACGATAACTAAAAAACTATTAATCCGATCAACACCAAATTTTGACCACTTATTTTTTATAACAATAGCTAGTCCTCTAACGAAGAATTTTTTTTTTTTTTTTTTAACTTTTTTTTTAGAGCATAAAAATCAAAAATCTTATACCTTGAAAAAGTAAATTTTTTGTTAAAACCGTCGCCATTTTTTTTTTAATCAAAATTTTTACAAATCTATGGTCTAGAGGACTAGGCAATACAATATACTAACGAAATTTTTTTGAATTGTTGATTTCGGATGAACCGTTCTCGGGATATGATGTCCACCGCAAGTCACCATCGAAAAAAAGACGATCTTGGAATTCGGCCATAACATTTTTAATATTTAATATTTTTTTATGAAAAAATTTTATAAAGTACCTAGAAACATGTACTAAACAACGTCGGTAAAACATTTTTGATAAATATTTTTTATGATGTCAAAAAAAAAAAATCGACAAAATTGCATTTTTTTGCGCGGTACAACTGTATATAACCCCTTAATTGGTCATTATGTCTCCTTAAAACAAACCTTACCATTTGCTCGCTGCTTAGTCGACTGTGAACCTCCAGGGTAATGTAGAACTCCCAGTAGTTGGCTGGCCGCTCCTGCTTTAAAGCCACCTTCTTCCCGGTCTTAACGTGTTTTCCCGTGTAGATAGTTCCGTACGAACCCTTGTCAAGCATCTTGACCACTTCAAACTGCTCGCCATTCACCTCCACTTGGGCATTGGGACGCAGACGTTTGACATGGCCCACCAATTGGCAGTGCGGTAGCTTCTCGATGTACTGTGAGAAGTCAATTTCGTCCAGCAGGGAACCAATGAGGTCTATGTTAAAGGGGTTTATATTGTTATCGGGGACCGTTTGGATCACGACTGTCTTGTCTGTGTTTAACTTGGGGTGTACGAAATGATCTCGCGGAAGTGTATCACTATCATTATCATTATCAGAATGGCACCAGGAACGGTGCGATTGCTTAGGCGTTAGCGGTGTGGACTTGTAATAAATGCTCAGGTCTCCGTTGTCATCTCGCTCATCCTCTCCCCCAGCTTTGTCAGCTGGTGGATTTGAAACTACGGACGGAGGAAGCAGCGTGGAATTCTTAATCATGCTAATGTTAGTGGCAAACATCTCCGTGGCAGCATTTAGTTCGAAGAAGTTATCGGAGTGCCCTCCACTACTCTTTGATTGGCTTGAGCTGGGAGAATCGCTGGCGAACTTCAGAGTTCCCGAGGATAGCGGAAGTTGTGGCGGACAGCTACTCAGCTCTGTGCAATCATTCATGAACGAAGCGATCATGTGCGATGGTCCTACAGTCTCCGGCTTCTTAGCTGCTTCCTTATGCACTACTGACTGCTGCGTTTCGGGCACCGTGCAGTCCAAGCTAAAACTGCAGCCCATTGGTGGTTTTGGCTTTATCATCTCTGGCTGTGTCTCGTCGAGGAAGATCTCGAACTTCTGTTGCGTAGCCGGAGCGCCGGGTTCATTCACGGGCTGTGTCTCGGGAACAAAGGACAATTCGTTCATGAAGGAGTCCGCCAGCTGGCAGCCATCAGGTGCGGCCGAAGGTTTACCGATGGTCTCAACAAAGGAGACACCAATCGAGTCCCGAGTGCTTCTCGGTGGCTTCGAAAACATTTCGGAAGTGTTTCGCTCGCAAATACGCCGCGAAGCGTCCTGTGAAATGGAAGAGCCAAACGTCTTCATCTTTGGCGGCGTCTTTGCAAAGAGCCCGCAAAGGTCATCGTCATCGAGCGTTGGAATCTTCGGTGGTGTCAGCAGTCCAGCAGCTATCGCGCACTCTGGTAAACCGACAGGCAGTCGCGGCAACGTTTCGGTTTTGTCTTCCTGGAAGCAGGGCAGAGCTCTAGGAATCGTCTCAGTCTTATCCTCCTGGAAACGCAGCGATTTCATCATCGGCACGCTGGGAGCATTTTGCTCCCAAAGCTCTCGGCGCGAAAAATTATGGCCAGCCCTCTTCTCCTGTTCCTCATTAACTGTGGAGCTATCAAGGCCAGGCAGGCGCTGCTGCCTCAATGGTCCAGGGGTGGCGGCCAGAGTGGGTGTAGTGCGTGAGCCGGGGGAAGAAGAAGTTGAAGTAATGGTCGACTTAGTAGTGGCGTTAGTGGCCGCCGAACTTTGAGTGCCGTGTTCCGAGGTCTCCAAGATGGTCGAAAGCTGTTTGCGTAACATGGGTGAGTGCGAATCCACCGGAAACTCGGTAGAGGTGGGAGAGGAAGCGGGCTCCTCCGTCGGCGACAGCTCCTTAAGCACAGTGCCAAACTGCCGGGATGGAGCCTGCTTCTGCGGGCCCTTCGGCGTACTTATGCCATGAGATTTTATGAACATGTTGAACATTTGCGTAGAGCACGTTTCATCTGCGTCGAAAACAGGTGCTTTAGTTACGGGCGCAGACTCTGGCTCATCTGGGTCCTGGTAAATCTGTATAGTACGCAGAGGCGGATCTGGCACAGCAAATTTAACATCTGCAGTTGAACCGGTTGAACCGGGATCCTCAAGTATATGCACCTTGGGCTGCTCGGTCGTAACAGGCGGTTGCGATGAGGCAGCGGGTTGACGCAAGACATCAGACGACGTTGCCGGAGCATCGTCTCCTAGGGCTGCCGGTTCCGTAACCTCCGCGCGATCCTCTCTGCGCGGCATCATTGACTTTCTGGAGGAAGAGGGAAAGAAACTCTTGCGGCGCGGCATTTTGTCCTCGGGCAGGCATGCAGTCTCATCCATATCAAAGTCGCCAATGACTGTAAGATTACGTTTCTGCCGCCACTTGGCTGCCAGCAACTCCTCCTGTTGGTACTCTGTCTGCTCATCGTCGTTATAGAGCTGGTCGAAATCGACTTGAATGTTGGGCACTTTTGGCGGTTTAAAATACTTGTCTAGCTCGTCCAGCGCTTGCGGCTTGGAGGCGGTGGCGAAGTTTGGGTAGAGGCGTATTCCTCTGAGCTCCCCACCAGTGCCCCACCACGGGTCGTTACGGAGGACCAACGGATGCTTCGGCTCATGTCTTCTAAGATAAATGTAGCCACGATACTCCTCGGGGGAGAGTTCTATATTGGGTCGCGGGTATAGCAATGGTTTGTTATAACACGGCACTGCATTTGCTTCCGGCTCCTGCTCAATTGTTACTTGGGTCACCCATGTCTCCAATGGCTTGTTCTTAGCCACGAAATTGGGGGGAAATCGAAAGGGCTTGTCAAAGCGTCGTTCGTAGTTGGTGATGGGTGGAAAAACATACTCGTCGACATGTATATCGAAGCCCAGCTCTGGCGAGGAGTCGCCGGAGAAGATTTTGCCGTGCTTGTGGGTCTTGGCGTGAGCCTTGTTCCAGGGCATTGACTCCTTGAGGTTTTCTATCCCGCGAGCTGCCTCGACGATCGAGGTGTGGCTTGTTTTCACCTCTTGAGGCACCGCAGACAGCATGGCGCCGTTCTCGTCTCTGAAAACCTCCACGTTACGATCAGAATTCTGCATGCGGCTGGTGCTAGGGCCACCCATCTGAAAGTATCCACTGTTTGTATTAACAATTTACACGTCCTTCTTACAAAGATCCCTACGAATATTCACATATTATATTGGGGAATACATATATAAATATCAATAAGTGTTTTTGATTTATTTTTTTTAATCAAAGCGTTTCGAGATATTTGGAAGAATTTAAGTTATTAAACGCAAAAGACAATAAATTTAAGGGGTTTACCGATTTTTTTAAATTTTCTCTGAAGAGCGCAACTTTACAATTTGAATGTTTTACCAGTTATTAAGTAAAGTATGCAGTATTTTTCTAAATTTTTTTTAGTTAAAATATTATAACATTTTCGAGATATTTTGGCAACCAAAATACTACACAAAAAACAAAGGTTAACACGAACTGGGAAGGTCGATTTAAAAAATTTAAATGCAATTATGATCTGGATGAATGCGGAAAAATGCTTAATAAAAAACTAAAAACGCCCTGCAAAATAAACTAGTCTATGACTAGTGCGATGACCGCATGCATGCTGAACATATTGTGCAAATTTCGGTTAAGTCGTTTTTGAGAAATCATGTTGACCAGTTGGAAAAACGTGAAAATAAGTTAGAAAAGCGAGCTAACCTAAGAAAACTTTTGATTTTTGTAAACGGTCACATGGGTCAACCCTCTTAACATTAAATAAAATGCAAAATGAAAATGAGATCTTTAAAGAAACACGAAGCGCTCTGCAGTTGTTCTTGTTTCGGTTATTTTTGAGCTTAGGTAATTGTAGGACTGACATTTGTAAGCTTTAATAATAATAGAAATCAACATTATAAAAATTTAAAAAAATATACATCATTCTTATAATGATTCTGACTCCTAGGACTCTGTCACTTTGATAACGTTCCGATTTATGGGAACGTAGACTTCGGCATTTCTTACCTGCACCACACCCGGAAATTCGCTCTTTACGGCAGCTCCGGTACGCACGCTTCCCACCGTAATAGTGTTGGACCCCCGTTGGCGACGTCCCTTTAACGACTGCAAGGCCAACCGACGCTCGTGCAGCTCTTGGTTGACTGCGTCGGCCTGCTCGCCGTCAGAGTACAACATGCGCTGACCCACCGTATACCCGAAGTGCTGGTGGGCTTCCCTTAGCTCCTCGAGCGGCTGGGCCCGGCACTGGAGACCCAGGCGAAAGATCTCGTCGGCCTTTTGCATGTTGCCGCTCAAGTCACAGCAGTACGCCCAGGCGATGTAGAAATCCGCGAGCATCGTGCCAGTCCCGCGACTATACATTTCCTGGTACAACTCGATAGGGTTCTTCAGCTCTTGCGCCTGGAATCGTGCAACGGAGGGGGTAGAGATTGGCTAGTCCACAAACTTATTATCCTTACTTACAAATTTAATAAACAGCTTGATGAACCGCCTGTCCTGCTGGTAGCGAACATCCTTTTCGAATTTTGTGAGGCAGTCCTTCAGAACCACCTGCAATTTGGATTCGCTGCCGCCCGCCGGATAACTCTGCTCGATCCAGCAGATGTATGCGTGCCATGGGTCCAGGGGATCCTCGCCGGTATAGTTCTCCAATTCCTTCTTCAACTTGCTGCGCTGCGCAACTAGCTCCTGGCCCTGCGCGGAGTCCAGGCTGAGTGAGGCCTGCAGCAGGCTAACGTTGCGACCGCTCGCTAACGGTTGGATGTTCTCCTTAGCGGTATCGAAGTCCATTTCAGTCCCCTGTTTCAATGGTGCAATTATTTACCGTCGTATTACAATCATAAAACCCTAAAAAACAAAAACTTCGCGCCGCTGAAATGCTAGGGATAACATTTGAGCTAGCGATATATCGATATATGACATTTGACGTTAGTCGATAGTTCGAGTTTTACAGGGTTGGGAGCTCAGCCAATTACACGGTGGTTCATAGGAGGCGTATTTGAATTTTTTAATTATTAAATTATTATTTTATTGCTTATATTATATTCATCTTAATTATTTTTAATGTTGCTTAACTTAGTTTTATAAAAAAAAAATGTACTTCTGTTTTTCTCAAAAAAATTCCTATAAGTAAAGTTTTTTAAATATTTAAACTTAGAAGTGTAGTTTTGGGTACTTTTGAAGGGCTTTAACTTCAATACGTTTTATTTTTTATAAGCAATCTTTACGGCATCTTCAAGAGCTGTTCTTGTATTAAAAAGGAGCTTTTTAAAGTTGGAAAGTTTTTTTTTTGGTATACAATATATTGTCTCTTGAATTTATATCAATATTTTTTCATAAATCTCTGAGTGTGTCGAATTTGACATTATTGGAAAACAAGAAAGGAAGCTAACTTCGGCACGCCGAAGTTTGTATACCCTTGCAGATTCCAATTAGATCATTAAGAATCGAGCCATTCTGGTTAAATAATTAAAAAATAAAAATAAAAGAAAATATATAAAAGTTGTACATGGCATAAATAAAATGCTGAAAACTCACACAAAACAGAGTTTCATAAAATTTTACCTATACTTATTATGTTTACAGTTTGACAGTTACAGTTTTACATTCCTAGCTTTAAATTTTCTCTACATAAAATTAAAACCGAAAATCTGAAATAATATAATTTGGCCATATCTCAAAAATGATGCAAAAATGTTGAAAAACAGTCAAATTATCAGACAGACGGACATGGCTAAATCGACTCGGCTGTTGGTGCTGCTCAAGAATATATACTGTATAGGGTCAGAAAGGTCTCCTTCACTGCGTTGCAAACTTTTGACTGAAATTATAATCGTTCGTTTGTTACTATGGCAGCTAAATGATATAGCCGACTGATCCTGCCCGTTCCGACATATATTAGTGAGAATAGTCCGAGTTTCATTCAGATAGCTTTAAAAATGGCTAGATCGATTGATTGATTGATGCTGATCAGGAAAACCGTCTTCATCTTTGCGTTGAAGACTTCTGACTAAAATTATAATACCCTGCAACGGTACAAAAATGCTCTAATTAAGTTACCTAAGGACCTTGGCTTTTAGTAATTTCATTTTTCTTATTACTTTTTCAAGGAGCCACGGAAGCTTCACTGTTACTCGCATACCTGTGAAAAATGATTTAAAAATAAATTAAAAATCTTTATTTATATGAGCCTACCTAGAACGACTTGGAATATTTTATGAGCTTATAACCTATAGTCAACAATACAAATTAGGTCACTCCTTATGCAGTATCATATTGAATTTGCTAATGGCCTCGGCAACATATTTTTCCTTTTCAGCTAGCTCGGATTTGAGCAGCATGCGCAGTTCTTGTAGATTGGGCATTGTACGACAGTCGCGAATATTAAGCAGCGTCCTGAAGATAGTCTCCCACATCTGCCGCTGGACATAGCGCGGAAGAGCAGTTTTCGGCATCCAAACTCCACTCGTACTCCGTTTCACAACTTCCATATAGCTACCGAAGAGCAGGACATGCATGACACCCACTAGGCCGAATAAATCGAGCTGGTACGTCCACGGCCGATTGGTGCGCATCTCAATGCACTTGAACAGCTCGTGGTGGTGCACATAATTGAATGTTTGATTGGGCGGAAAGCGCCTGGTGTCGATAGACACGCCAAAGTCAATAAGCTGCAGGCTAACCTCATTGGGATGCGCGCACAACCTAGAAGAGACACATGATAGGTAGTTCTTATGGTGAAAGGGTAATTAGCTTAAGGTTCTTACGGTTTCATAAGGAGAAAGTTGTCCGCTTTAATATCGGCGTGAATTATGCCCAAGGCGTGCAGATGATCCACGATGTCGAGCATCTGGCAACTTAGATGCATCACAACGTACTCGTCCAGGTTCTTGCCCGTGCCACTCTTTATTTTGTTGCACACGGAGATCAGCGAACCATAATCCGAGAAGTCCGAGATATAGACACTGCAATTGTTGCCCACCAGTGCATAATCAAAGTGTGTATATGCTGAAAACTAAAAGATATAATACAAAATGATCATTTATCTTATTTTTTGTTTTAGAGTCGTAGTTACTATTTTTTTTTGTGCAAATTACAGACTACATCGGAAATCAAGCACTTAAATTAAGCAGGGCACGCAATCATTATATGTGAAAACATTAAAATAAGTAAGTAAGAAGTATTGAGTGGAGTTAATTGGTCATTATGTCTCCTTAAAACAAACCTTACCATTTGCTCGCTGCTTAGTCGACTGTGAACCTCCAGGGTAATGTAGAACTCCCAGTAGTTGGCTGGCCGCTCCTGCTTTAAAGCCACCTTCTTCCCGGTCTTAACGTGTTTTCCCGTGTAGATAGTTCCGTACGAACCCTTGTCAAGCATCTTGACCACTTCAAACTGCTCGCCATTCACCTCCACTTGGGCATTGGGACGCAGACGTTTGACATGGCCCACCAATTGGCAGTGCGGTAGCTTCTCGATGTACTGTGAGAAGTCAATTTCGTCCAGCAGGGAACCAATGAGGTCTATGTTAAAGGGGTTTATATTGTTATCGGGGACCGTTTGGATCACGACTGTCTTGTCTGTGTTTAACTTGGGGTGTACGAAATGATCTCGCGGAAGTGTATCACTATCATTATCATTATCAGAATGGCACCAGGAACGGTGCGATTGCTTAGGCGTTAGCGGTGTGGACTTGTAATAAATGCTCAGGTCTCCGTTGTCATCTCGCTCATCCTCTCCCCCAGCTTTGTCAGCTGGTGGATTTGAAACTACGGACGGAGGAAGCAGCGTGGAATTCTTAATCATGCTAATGTTAGTGGCAAACATCTCCGTGGCAGCATTTAGTTCGAAGAAGTTATCGGAGTGCCCTCCACTACTCTTTGATTGGCTTGAGCTGGGAGAATCGCTGGCGAACTTCAGAGTTCCCGAGGATAGCGGAAGTTGTGGCGGACAGCTACTCAGCTCTGTGCAATCATTCATGAACGAAGCGATCATGTGCGATGGTCCTACAGTCTCCGGCTTCTTAGCTGCTTCCTTATGCACTACTGACTGCTGCGTTTCGGGCACCGTGCAGTCCAAGCTAAAACTGCAGCCCATTGGTGGTTTTGGCTTTATCATCTCTGGCTGTGTCTCGTCGAGGAAGATCTCGAACTTCTGTTGCGTAGCCGGAGCGCCGGGTTCATTCACGGGCTGTGTCTCGGGAACAAAGGACAATTCGTTCATGAAGGAGTCCGCCAGCTGGCAGCCATCAGGTGCGGCCGAAGGTTTACCGATGGTCTCAACAAAAGAGACACCAATTGAGTCCCGAGTGCTTCTCGGTGGCTTCGAAAACATTTCGGAAGTGTTTCGCTCGCAAATACGCCGCGAAGCGTCCTGTGAAATGGAAGATCCAAACGTCTTCATCTTTGGCGGCGTCTTTGCAAAGAGCCCGCAAAGGTCATCGTCATCGAGCGTTGGAATCTTCGGTGGTGTCAGTAGTCCAGCAGCTATCGCGCACTCTGGTAAACCGACAGGCAGTCGCGGCAACGTTTCGGTTTTGTCTTCCTGGAAGCAGGGCAGAGCTCTAGGAATCGTCTCAGTCTTATCCTCCTGGAAACGCAGCGATTTCATCATCGGCACGCTGGGAGCATTTTGCTCCCAAAGCTCTCGGCGCGAAAAATTATGGCCAGCCCTCTTCTCCTGTTCCTCACTAACTGTGGAGCTATCAAGGCCAGGCAGGCGCTGCTGCCTCAGTGGTCCAGGGGTGGCGGTCAGAGTGGGTGTAGTGCGTGAGCCGGGGGAAGAAGACTTAGTCGACTTAGTAGTGGCGTTAATGGCCGCCGAACTTTGAGTGCCGTGTTCCGAGGTCTCCAAGATGGTCGACAGCTGTTTGCGTAACATGGGTGAGTGCGAATCCACCGGAAACTCGGTAGAGGTGGGAGAGGAAGCGGGCTCCTCCGTCGGCGACAGCTCCTTAAGCACAGTGCCAAACTGCCGGGATGGAGCCTGCTTCTGCGGGCCCTTCGGCGTACTTATGCCATGAGATTTTATGAACATGTTGAACATTTGCGTAGAGCACGTTTCATCTGCGTCGAAAACAGGTGCTTTAGTTACGGGCGCAGACTCTGGCTCATCTGGGTCCTGGTAAATCTGTATAGTACGCAGAGGCGGATCTGGCACAGCAAATTTAACATCTGCAGTTGAACCGGTTGAACCGGGATCCTCAAGTATATGCACCTTGGGCTGCTCGGTCGTAACAGGCGGTTGCGATGAGGCAGCGGGTTGACGCAAGACATCAGACGACGTTGCCGGAGCATCGTCTCCTAGGGCTGCCGGTTCCGTAACCTCCGCGCGATCCTCTCTGCGCGGCATCATTGACTTTCTGGAGGAAGAGGGAAAGAAACTCTTGCGGCGCGGCATTTTGTCCTCGGGCAGGCATGCAGTCTCATCCATATCAAAGTCGCCAATGACTGTAAGATTACGTTTCTGCCGCCACTTGGCTGCCAGCAACTCCTCCTGTTGGTACTCTGTCTGCTCATCGTCGTTATAGAGCTGGTCGAAATCGACTTGAATGTTGGGCACTTTTGGCGGTTTAAAATACTTGTCTAGCTCGTCCAGCGCTTGCGGCTTGGAGGCGGTGGCGAAGTTTGGGTAGAGGCGTATTCCTCTGAGCTCCCCACCAGTGCCCCACCACGGGTCGTTACGGAGGACCAACGGATGCTTCGGCTCATGTCTTCTAAGATAAATGTAGCCACGATACTCCTCGGGGGAGAGTTCTATATTGGGTCGCGGGTATAGCAATGGTTTGTTATAACACGGCACTGCATTTGCTTCCGGCTCCTGCTCAATTGTTACTTGGGTCACCCATGTCTCCAATGGCTTGTTCTTAGCCACGAAATTGGGGGGAAATCGAAAGGGCTTGTCAAAGCGT